ATGATGCATACAATTGACTCCGGACAAGGTGCGTTGCATTAAGTCTTCCTACCAAAATGACCAAATTGCGAAAACAAGGTGAAACAACTTCAAAAAAGAAAATCTGTTTCCCAAAAGCAGATGAGTAGGTCGAATGCTTAGAGTGGATTGTGAAAAATAATCCACCATTAACCCTTAACTTAGTCATCAAGAGACCGAGAAGGCCAAAGTCGTTACGCGAGAATTAGTGATAGTCTCGAAAACTATTCATTTTGTAATTACATTTTCTGGCATCGTGTCTTCGCGTAGTCGCCTATTTTGATCATGTTACATGCAACTTTACAGTCTCTTGTCATGAGACTCGATGTCGCCGTGTCAGCTGGTCAATATGAGCTGCAGACCAGCTGAGCTGTCAGCTTTTCTCTACTCTCTGCCCTCTTTGCCAGAAGCAGCTGTTCGCCAGTCTGCCAGCGCCTCAGCAACCGTTTCAACGTACTTTAAACGACCAGGCTTCACTCATGCGTGACCGAGCCGCGGACTTTGTTAACCAAGTCTTAACTGGCATGTAAAACGCAGAGAAGAGGCAATCGCTGACCTCATCTTCGAAGTCTCGACGCCATTTCGCAGCCAACTTTGGTGCTGACAGTCTTGCTACTGCCAGGCCTGACATGCAACCTGTCTCGGTCCGGCTCCTCCGTCTTGCGCGGGCTGCCTTGACGACAAGCTGATTGGTGCATTCCGGCAGGAAAGCAACTGCCAACTGCCAACTGGCGACTCGAGACGAACGGACACCCGAGCACCCGAGCACCCAAACGCCAGTTGGCACGGGGATCGGTTGTGTTCAAGCTTGCTTGCCTTAGCAACAAGCGTAGCCAATCTGCCAAGTTGAACTCAGATGCCCGAGTCGGCTTGTCTACGTCGGTTATGCGAAGAAAACGTTGGGTTTCGAGCAATCTCTTGTCTCATAATTGTTGAGCTCACTTCCATTTCTAGTGGAAGTGTTGCGTGAAGAGATTGGAAGGTCGGTTCCACCAGAAGACGACGGCC